TAATTTTTTTTCAGTAATAAATGCTCTAAGGAAATGTGAACTGGAGTCACACTAGTGCTCACCATCTGAACAGAAGACTATTTAATTTTTCAGTCTTCAGAATAGTAGCTAAACCCTCAACTACACCTCCAGCAGACTTTACTAACATCAGATTTAAAAGGTACAGAAAAGCTAAGGGATTTCTTTTGGTTGTTGTGGTTTTGGTTTGTGGATTTTTGCTGGGTTTTAGAGGTTCTTTGCTTCTCAGTGCCTACAGCCAAAATATTTAACCATCAATACTAATTACAAATAAAGAAAAAATATGTTCATCTCCACACTGTGGAGGTGTCTGAAGTTAATCCAGTACACCTACAGGAAAACATGTTCATCCACCATTGTTCCTAATAACAAAGCCTGTATTGCCTTTAGACCCTTAGGTGTTTTAAGTAAACTTGCAACTCATGGAAAGACCAGAGCCTGAACCCATTTGCTGCCAGACACTAACTATAGCCACCTTAAAATAGACATAGCTAGGTCTAATCCTGGAACTGTGTGCTATAATCCCCATTATATACAGCTTTGTATGCAGAAGGTCTGAAATCAATGCGTATACCACTGCTTTGTTCCTTGATTGAAAGGTTAACTGACCTTTGGAACTGCCAGTCTGATTTTCTGGGGTGGCTGCACTTTTTCCAGAAATACTATGAGACCTTTTACTTTTTTTCCAACTCACTCAGGATGTTCACATAAAAGAACATATGGTGGTTAACATACTTAGGGACATTAATGAATAAATGCTGCATGTCCAGAGATAAAAATGAGATTCAGATAAGAGTGATTAAAAGAGTTCAAAAGAGCAGAATTTCTCTGTGTAACCTGTGGCAGTATTGTGGACACACCAACAAAAGCTGTTTTCCAAAGCATGTATAAATAATCCCTATTATAGAAACACAGACATTACAGCTATTACCTTCCATAGCTTCCATACGCACATCTTCAGAGTAAAAAAAAATAAAATTACAAACAAACCCCAAACCTATTGCCACTTCACAAGTTCTTACACATATTAAGTAGTACCTTACTCCACAAATATTCCCATTTGAGTCAATGGGACAAATTGCTGAGTAAGGTTCTTCTTTTAATTTAAGAATTGCTTTTCAAATTTATCCAGAATTATGAACTCCATGGCCCTGGGGTACAATCTTGTATAAAGAAGAGAGGGAGTTTTCACTTCTTCAAACAAAAAGGATATACCAAAATAATAATGCACAAAAATCATAATGCACCATCCACTGACATCAATAAGAAATTGTTTGAAAGAGCTGTGGTCAGTCTGTATTTGGAATAGCTACAAAATATTAATTTGATGCTAATTCCGAACCAGTATTATGTTAGAAAAATAATGCAACACAGCAATTTATACTTTTTCTGTTCCAAAACACAACCTATATACCTTATTTAAAGTGATAATTTTTAGCTAATGTGATACATTTGAAATGTATTCAATACAAATGCCTTACATTTTTCAATTTTGCAAAATATCTCATCTGATTTAGAAATGGAAGAAACAAAAAAAGATTATATCCTTCAAGGATACTAAGTGAAAATTTGAGTTTAATAAATATGTAATGGAAAAAAAATAAGCTTTATACCATATTGAAAAGTACATGTAATATGAGCTGCAGTGATATTATATGCTATAATTAAGATAGCAAACTTGCTTTCATGTAGCACGCGGAGTCTATGTTTACAATATTCAATGTTTTCTGTCAATTAAGAAGATCCTGGCTATTTAAAGAAGCAAGATAGCAAATTGGCTGGCAAAAGGTGTCTACCTCCAGCAGACTGTACTGAAATGTTAAGGAATGCTAGCTGCTGGAATCCTGTGAGAGGAGTGAGTCTTTGCTTGCAGCACAACATGGCTGCATGCACAGACCACTAGACAGATATATTCAATTTATTACAGTATATTTTGCTGCACTTGTCATTGTAGTGGACTAGAACTATTGGATATAGGATAAACAGCTACAATTTGGGAAGTTTTATTTTGGGATCACAGTAAATAAAAATGGGGGATTTTTATTGCGTAGCATGCTGGCCTTTTTCCTAGGTGAAACCATAGAGTACAAGCATCTTATATTGTGCCTGTTTGTTTTAGAAGTCTTCTATTTTTCAAAAGTGCCTGTCAGAATGAAAATACAACAGTGCCAAAGCTGGTTTCCTGACTACCTGTGGCCATTAGACCATAGCCGGGAAACTGCACGTGGTCTGCAGAACTCTATTGCCTTCTAATTAAAAGCTTGATAACAAGAGTGCTTGGTGATCCCAAGAAACTTGGGTGCTGACAAAGTTCCATTCATCCAAATGGTTTAGGAAATTCTTCTGTAATACAAAATAATATTAATACTTAGACTTATTTTTATGTGTACTAGCAGGGATATGATACCATGTACCTCTATTCTAATTCGCTTTGCAAATTGTATTTTAATACTGTACAATGAGACTCCAAATACAAGTTTATTCATATTATTCATAGGAATAAGTGAAATAAATATGTATCCAGAATTAGATTTATCAAAAATACTTTCTCATTCCTATGCTTTAGGAATATATACAACCGCTGGGCTGAAAGAAGTCCATTTTGGTCCATTCCTCTGAGTTAGCAGTTGTCAATGTTTTTCTTCCCTTCAATTGTTTGCCTTGTGTTTATCTTAAAACAAACAAACAAACAAACGAAAATCTCTAGCTGCTTCTCTTTATGACCTTTGTTATTCATTTGGCAGTTAGTCAAATAAACTTCTTGCCAAATCATTTTGTTCTCATTTTGCCTTGGCTAACATTCAATGCCCTGTCTCTCATTGCTGCCGCTAGTTCAAATAGTTTTAGACCATTATTTATCTCTACTCTTTGCAGAGCTTGGTGTACACCAGTGACATTCCCCCTTACTCTTTTCCCTTACAAAGATGACAGACCCAGTTTATTTAAAGTTTTTATTAGATCTTTCAATCTCTTTATCTTTTGCTGAGCTCTGCTCCACCTTTTCTATTATGAGGTTTAGATAATAAAGACCAGACTGTGTTGCTCTTCCTTGTGTTCAATGTACATTTCACCAGGAGTGGTCACACTGCAGTCAACAAAGATTGCTTATGGAGTAAGGTACTACTCAATTCAAGATTCACAACCTGCCTTGGAGTGATCAGGACTATACACAATATCCCAAGTTCAGAGAGGTAATTTCCTTTGCTTTCAAGTACATCTCTGCTTATGTGGCTTATGTTATTATTTAGCTTTTGCTTCTGATTAGTTTTATTTGAAAATAAATATTTTTAACCTGCCCTAGCATGCTGGTTTATATTTAGTCCTACTGATGACTCAGTCCCATATGTCGATCTTCTTAATGTTATAAATGAAGGTAGACTTAGTGTTAATCTCATTTTAGTAACCACCTCAAGTCCCATTACTTCCACAGTGGTATAATAATGAGCGGTGTTCCTGTTCCCATTGCAGTTAAGTTTGAGAATTCATATAAATGCCATACAAAGAAGGACAGGTCTATCAATTGTTCCTTCAAATGCCCTGCTTTACTTTTTTTTTCTTTAGCATATGTTTTTTATTTATTCTTTTCCATCCAATTAGTGTCTTGTTGTTCATGACATTACTAAAAATAGAAAAAAGTTTCTCTTCCTCTTTTGATGTCTTCTATAACTTTATGACAGGCCCTGATAATATCAGCATCCTTCATACAATTGAATTTCTCGGAACCCTGATTTCCCTCAGTATTTTTTTTTATGTACATATGACTGATTTTTATATCCCTAATATGTTCTGATATTCACTAATTTTCTGCTGCAAGCAAAAAAAGAAAGTCATACCTATTACTTTACTGTTTGTCAGAGTAGTTACAATTTTCTATACTTTCTTAATTTACACCAAAACTTTATCAGAAGTAGGACAAACCACCATACAGTTTTTGCTACTCTTGCCTCTCATATTTTTACACTTATGCAATTGCATTTGTATTTTACAGCAAAAATTCTACGATTCTACTGATTTCTTTCTGTTTCAAATGGATTATTACTTATTCAGCCACTTAGTACCACTTTTCCTTGTTTTTTTAATTATTACTAAATGGCATATATAACCATAGGGTTAAATGCATTTATCTTGGACCAATCCTAATTCCATGCTATACTCCTTGTTATCCTGACAATTTTCTTCCATTTCACTCCAGTGTCCATCTTGGCGGACAATCTCCCATCTCTATGTCAACACAACCAACCCCTATGTATTTCTCAAAACTACACTGAGAAAGGTCCTCTTTCTTTTGAACACAGTAGAAGTGAATATTTGATTGTACTAGTGATAAGGATACTGCTCATTTGACTCCATTCAACTCAAGCGTATGTAAATATCTATGCATGTGAGTACACAAGGAAATAACAATTCAAGGAGTTCTCTCTTCTTTCCCCCCTTTTTGATTTTGCATTGGTTAGCCATGGATACTTTATACCATGGAGCAGCATAACACACTTGGCTGTCAGGGGATAAGCAGATCACCAGAAGTGCACATTCTGCTGCACATTTCAAGGGAACACATTCCAACTTTCTGCGTAAAAAGAGTGCATGGCAGTTTTGTTGGCTGGGGCCTGTGGAGCACAGGCAGTTCGGAAGGTCTGCCTTTGGCAGCATTTCCAAACAACCACCTCTTACACAGTGTGCGTGAATTGCTCTGCTAGCCTGCCCCAAGAACTCCCTGTCTAGACCTTTTCCATCCTTCTCATCTTGCATGGCACCAACTTTGAGTTTAGCTCCATTCACTCCAGCCCTGCATGCCAGTGCTTTTTTCTTTTTGAAAAGTAATATGTGTCAACTAACTTATCCCCCCAAGCCTTAGGTTATTCTTTCTAGTGCACTGTGGTATGTCAAATGCTGGTAACAACAAGGGCATGAAAACACATAATGTCTTCCAATTAGATCTCAAAGGTTATTTTTTAAAACACAAAAATTTTTAGAAAAAAGTGTCAGCTTCCATTGGTTATTATAACAGATGTTCCTTTGTGTCCTTGTGCTGGATCTTGCTGCATCCTTAAGTGAGAAGTCACATCAAAATGTGATCCATTACAGCCTAGTGAATAGTTTCTAATGGTTTCAGTGTCATATAGATGCTCCAGGGCATATCCAGTTAATGTGTAAGCATGCTTATCAAAGTACTGCCTATGGGAGCTGTAATAATTTGGAGAGGCTGCTGGATGGTCCCCTGGGGTTTGGTGAGGGGACATATCTGAATGCAGGTAGTCTTTAGCTAGTACCAAACTAGATTTTGATATTCGGTCAGAATTGGGGCTGCTTATCCTAGACAGAGTAGTGGGGCTGTTGTCATAGTCATTTTCATGTGGGCTCATAATCTTCCCATCTCGCTGCTGGATGTGTTCACAGGGGGGAGTGTTGGCAACTGTTGGGACACGGCAAACATCTGCTGCCAATTGCTGCTGAGGGTAGTTTGCAAAACATATAGTGTGCTTCTTCCCTGTGCCATTAATGGAGACCAATGGATCAGGGTTTGTTTTCCGCAGCTGTAGTCTGTTTTCTTCCTCTTTAATCATTTGCTGGGTGGCTCTTATTAGAGTTTCAATTTTGCTGGGCTCATGTGGACTGCTCTGATATTGCTCAGCACGGTATCGGTCACCTGATTCACTGGCAGAGCCAGGATCAGGTGAGCTGACGACACTGTCCTCATCCCAGTGTCCTCTCCCTAGGAAAGAGAGAAAGAGGACAAGCATTGAGGTTGAAGGAGGCGAGCAATCTTGAAGAACAAGTACTCTGAACTTTATTTTACAGACAGGAAACCAAGAGAGAGGCAAATGACTCGTAACAAAGTCACCAAAAATTACCATGATGGATCCCTTGCTTTTCAGTGACAACCTCTAGTTCCCCATGTCTGCACATGGAACGAGTAAGACAGCTGAAAATATACAAAGAGATCTAAGCACCTCAACACGAACATCCAGTGCTACCTGAGCCGATCCAGTGCAACCAAGCATTTGGCACCAACTCTACAGGACCTCTGGAGCAGCTAGAGGCCAGGCAGGGTACTTAGGGCATGTCAACATGCCCTCAACATTGATGCTCAGGTGCCTGACCCTTCACTATCTCTGCATTAACAAAGTCTGAGTGAACTTGGACCATGGTGAAAACAAAAATCTCAAGGAATTCCAAATATACATCATTCCAACATGCCTTCTAAGGCCTTTCCAGAAGCTAAGACATAGAGACAGCATTGCAGAATAGTTTGTGGTTATTTACTCTTTACATAGGTTACATAACAATGAGCAGTTCTTGTTTAGAAGCACAAGAACCCATAGCTGTTAGACAGAGTTATTATAAAAAAGTGATGTCATATCCCAATGCATAAATATTTGCTGTATAAAACTTTTAAAATGGGAAAATATAACTTTATTCTTGACTCTCTTTAAAAAATAAGGCCCACAAACATATCAGAGAAGGTGTTCAGCTTGCATGTAGCTGGAAGGACAGAATCAGACCTGTCAATCCTTACTAGGAAGAAAGTGAGTGACCCCCAAGCCTGAACAGCTGACTAAGGCCACATTACAAGAGAGGGTTTGATGAATGATTTGCTAAGATATGTGCCTGCAGGAGAGCACATCTTAGACTTGCACAAATTACTTAACCATGCCTTTGCCTAAGCACATACAAAGTCTTCTTTGGGAATGAGGCCTGTTGGGTTGGTTGACAGGACTCCTCAAAGGAAACCCATTTTCAGACCAGCACAAATATTTCCCCCTGCTCTGTGTTGGGTCAAGACATACAGATCTGCTTGGGTGGCAGACCATTACTGCTGTGTTGCAGAGTTCATGGCAAAAATCAGTGATGGGCTCGTATAGTAAACATATCCTGCCATTTGTCTGCGGAAGTACTGCACTGTGGAGTATCTCATGAGCATAAATTTATCCTTCACATCTTCTTAAGATCTGGACCCAAAATGGCAGGACCTGTAGGTGGAAGGGAGCTCCAGCCACCAGAGCACATAGTATGTCCAGTACACTGGGGAGCTGGGGATCCACGGCTCTAAACCCAGTGTTCAGTTTGTCTCACTGCACAGACCACAAATCCAGTGTCCCAGACTTCCTGAGTATGACCAGAAACACATGGGCTCATACGCAACATCCAAGGCCTGCCATACTGGTCAGTTAATTGTCATTATTGTAAGGTGACTCTGAGCCAGAACTAGCATAAGATACACTGAAAGTCAGAAAAGGAAGAAAATATTTTCTGCCCAATGAAACTACTCTGACAGCAATGTTCGTATGGTATTATTTAAAAGAGTTTCATTTGTGAAAGTCCGAGGTTAGAAACTGCCTAAATCTAAATGAAAATGGCACATTTGCAAGGGAAGCTGAGATGTTCTCCTCAACTAATGACCAACCAGTCAGGTTTTACCCCTAAAGCTACATGCAGACTGAAGGCCTAAGAAAACAACTGGAGCACCTGGAATTACAGCAAAACCAAGGAACAAAATAAAATCAAGTTATATTATCCATTTGTATTGATTATCCTTGATAAAGATATGGAATAAGTATTTAACTTTTTTGTATTTGCACCTACATATGTTATTTCTACATTACTATATTGCTATTCTCAGCAAGAATTATTACGCATAAAATTTGCCTGAAAAATTATCATACTTCATTCAATTCTTTTTTTTTTTCAGAAGAAAAATCTAGAAAAACGTAAGTATGACAGACGTACAGAACAGACACAAGGAAGGAGGTGTATTCTCAAAGGAAAAGTGGAGAATAGTCCTCCTCAGCAAAATTTAGGGCTCCTTTTCTTTCCTCATTTTTCCTCTGACTGTATTTCTTAGAACTTGTTAATTAATCATTTTTCTAATATCAACATAATTTTCCTCAGATTGAGTAAAATAGTACAGTTTTCTTCCCTTTCCAAAGCTTCACTCTGCAAACCAATGCTAATGGCTAGCATTAGCATAATTAGCTTTTTTTATGAATTCTTTAGATACAAACTATATTTTTACATATTACATTAGTAGAAAAGCTTTTTTTTTTAATCCTGCATCTATCCTTACAACCTTGAACTCTGACTTTTGAGTCAGTTACATTCTTTCAACTCTCAGTCTACCTTTTAATCCAAAGTCCTTTGAATTTTCCAAACTCAGGATCAGCCTTTCACTGTGATTTTTTTATTAGCTTCAGCTTCTGAAGATGTGCTAATGCACTGCTTGCAACCTGCCAGACACCAGGCAAGGCTTTAGGCTTGGTGTTGAAAGGACGGAGAGACTCAAACTAGCTAAAAGTTACAGCTGGGGACAAATGTCTGAAACCAAAAGCAAATGTTAATTTGAATTGTTAATTTTAAATAAAAACAAACAGCAAATCATATGGAATCTAGTAATAACCAGTGCAGAGAGATAAGTCATTTGGAGAACAATTTCTCCAAAGACTTTAAAGTTTTTTTTAATATATGGCTTGGATTTAGCTCTGATTTTTTGCTAAATATATTCCACCCAAAGTAGTTTGATCTTAAGTCAAATAAATAACACATTTCTATCAAGTGTATAACTTTGTTTATATTTTTAAGATTATCCTTGAAATCTCACCAATCAGATATTTCCACCTTAATTTCACAGATAAAAAAATATACCACAAGATTTTATTTTGATGCATATAAGCCAGACTGTTAAACTCAGCTTGAATTTTAAGTATTCCTCATCTCCATAGATGCAATCTCTGAGACAGGGACATAAATCAAGAGTCTCTCTCATTTTCTCTCCCACACAAACACTGCATGTTTATGTCACATTGCTTTATTTGAAATGGTGCCACTCCTTAAAATCCTTGTTATCTCTTACCATGAATCCTGTGCACTGACGTTATGTGGGGCATACTGTTTTCATATGCTTCTCTGCTCTCAGGGGATGACTTAGTCAGAGGCAATGCAGAACGAGAACCCCACCAGCTCTCCCTTCCTGACTGTGGTGTGCCAAGGAAATACCGGCCAGCTTCACATCTGCCTCCTTCACAGGCCTGAGTATGGAAATGTCTGTCATCAGTCAGCCGGGAGTGGTCAAGTGCAAAACCATAGCAGAGAGCACTGCGGTCCGAGTACTGTCTGTAGGCACAGGAGACATCGTGGTGCTGGGAGCTCGGTCTGTCAGCGGGCTCCAGTAGCTGAGGAGAGGCTGTGTCAGTCAGGGGGCTCCCACCCCACTGGCTTTCATGGTCAGACTCAGATCTCTCAGTGTGAAATCCAGAATACTGCAAAACAGGAGAAGCAGCTGGGAAATTACTGTGCCTGGGTGAAACCTGCAAGTAACTGCACTGAAAATACAGAGTATGTATGTGATAGGGTGCTTTTTGTGAGCGTACCACATGTCTGCACCTTCTGATTGGACTCCTAGTCCTTTCCTGTACAACACTCTGTAATGAGCTCACAGATTACAGGACAGACCTCATGAAAGTCTAAACCATCCCATGCCAACCCTTAATAGCCATCTCCTTTATGATGTGTAATATTAGACGCAGCAACATCAATGTTGCAATTCAGTATTTTTTTAATACCTCCAGGTTTTTCTTATTGCTTTGAAAGCTAGTGCTTATTCTCAGCTATGGTTCTCCAATGGAATTCTCCCAAAAAAAGGGACTGAAATAACACCACTCCTGGAGCACTCTCACATTCAAATTGAAAGTGAATGTATTTCAAGCTCTTTTTTAAGGGTTCCCTCTCTTTTCCTCTTCATGTTTTGTTTGTTGTTGGATTTTTTTTTTTCTTACCTAGAGTGGTATCTTTGAACTTCTTTCCTCCTATTAGTAGGGAAAAGAAAGCCTCCTGTAGACCCTGAGCCTGCTACCAACAACTACGATGGAGTAAAGCTCTGAAGTGATGGGAAGGGTAGGAAACTAAAAATCACAGCTCTGTTGCAATGTGGGAGCAAGGAAAATCCAAAACTATTTGCCAAAAAAAAATGACTAGCCAAAGCAGGCAGAGCTGGCATTTGGCACACTTGCTTAAACAAGGCCCTCCCAATACAGAAGCAGCAACTAGCAGGCAGTTGAAAAATCAGACAGAATAGGAGCATGGGCATTTCTTTAGAGAAAAGTAAGGGTTAAGTTAAATGCCCCATATTTCTAAGTATTCACAATGAATATTACAAACTTTCAGATACTTTTTTTGGGGGGAAAAAAAAAAAAACACCTTATTAAACTGCCTAGGATTTAGCTATCTCATTTTAAAAACTTTTTATTTATTGGAACTGTTGAACTTCATGGACATCTTTAAATCAATTTCATCCATGATTACAGACTGGGATGAGACTAAAGCTGTACATGCTCACCACTTCAGTACTGCACACTCATGTCACAAATCAATGTATTACAACATGAAACCTTGGAATTCTCCTATTCCATCCCTCACCTTCCAGATGCCTGCCCAGTCTACCTTTTCTTCTAACAGGCATTAGGCCTCTCTCTTGAAAACATAAGCTTACCTTCCTTTTCATTAGATTGAGTTGCTATGAAACAATTCATTATCAGCCAGGATCAAGGTTTTATGCACTTACCAATCGAAAGTACTGACCAGATGTTTGACTTACAGAAACTTAAACCATCTGTGCAACATCAGTAGCAGTTTTTACATTTAATTAGGTATTTCTTCTGTATTCCAGTTTATATTTGTGAATACTGTTGGTTAACACAGTAGGTTATTTAAAGGAAAGGAAGAAAGGGTCATGGCTTTAAGGAGCTCAGTTGTATTTTGTTATTAGCTGTCAGAATACCTGTTGGCAAAAAGCCTATCAGTAGATATGGAGGAGGTCAGCAAGTTAGTATACCATATTCATTGCAAGGTTTTAGAAATGAAAGGATAAACCTGATTTTGCATGGAGTTAAGATAGTTACAAAGCCACAAAAGAGTTCTTTTAAATGACAGTAACTTGGCATACTTTTACTAAGAACTTTATTCAACCATCACACTTACATGTAAACAACTGAAATATCTCGCTCTTCTATTACCTTTTCAGTTCTAATGTCTTCAAACTGCTTAGTCACAAAAATACTTTTGCGAATACTGACTGAATTACTGTCAACTTTCTCACAAAAATATATAGATGGATTAAGTTTCCAATGAAAAAAATAGAAACTTTTGGCAAGATTTTGGCTATTAAAATAGCTAAAATGGAAATTCACAAAATTAGAACTACTTTTGTGCCTGTTCTTAATTTTGGAATTACTTTAGTGCTTTTTAAATTTTATTTTTATAAACTAGATTTTTTAATTTTAAAAGTTAAGCTGAAATATAAAATAAGCATAAATATAAGTATAAAAAAGTTAAAACTTCATTTATTTTCTTATTAAAAACAAAACTCATAATATGCATTTCTTTCATGAGGAATACAGGAAAATTAATTTCTAATAATATAACGGAATTTATTTTATTGGACAATTCATGATGATAATAAATGACAGAACTGAAAATTCTTAATTCCGTTTAACTCTAAAAGATATTCTTCTATTAGTTCTCTGCTTCTAAGGACCACTCAGGGTCCAACATAGCTTCTCTTGCAGGGAATTTCTCCATATAATTTTTTTTAATCTTGAACCTAACCACAAAGGATTCAATTGCACAGTCCTTTGTGCACTTTTCTGAAAGAAAGGGACATCATTTCAAAGGGTATATATCCAGTACATCAGAAATGCACCATGTAATGTCATATAACCATGTAGTCAAGACCAGCAACACTTCATGCATACTCTTTGTACTTGATGTAAATGATGATTATTTGAGATCTGACCCGTAACAGCTGCTAGGCCACAGACAGACTTACATCAATCCAGTAAATTGCTTCTGGACCATATTTTCTACCAAGGTCTGTTATGACTGCTTACTCTTAAGGTAGAACATAAGCAGACATAGGCCAAAAATACGTCTAATTCCCTTTGAAGCTATCACATCTCTATTTGGCATCACCACACTGCCTCTATTGCTGCTGTCCTACCACTACCTCTTCTGGGAATCTGATGTTGACAGGTGGACACTCCAAATACGGGTACGTGTGACATGTTGATGAGCAGAGAAATGAAAGGATGATCAAAGATACTGCTTTACTCAAATGGGAATGGAAACACTATCTCTCAAGTCAGAATTAGGCTTCCATATGTCAAGTGATGAAAGATCATAGAAAATGGAATCAGATTTAATGGAAATTATGGCAAATTAAAATTAGAATTTTTTTTTTTTTCAGTCCACATCCTGCCTCACCAGAAATGTTCTCCTTTCTGCTAGTTTTGGGTTCTGACTCCTCTCAGGCAGAATTTATTATTTTGGGGTTCTTGACAGCAGACAGAAGTTAAACATGATAAAGAACTTCAGACACGCAAAATCTGAAATCCCTTCAGGTGATTTCTGAATTGTCTTCTGGCATAAATAACAACAATAAATAAAGTAAATGGTCCTCCAGCTGTTCTCTGGAAATTGAATTGCCACCTCCAGATACAAGAAGTGTCTTCCAGAGCACTAATCCAGCATATCATCGCAATGAGAGAACACAAGTAGTGTTAGCACTGACATAGGAAGGGACTATAGGCCATTACTGATGCTACTTCCATATCAAGAAAAACTTCAGGAGGGCTGAATGGGCAAGGAAATAGGAAAATATAAATTCCCTGTAAAAGAAAATCTTATTTTATGAGAGTGGAAGTGTATTAGGCCAGTAAACAATATTCTGTGGGTGATTTTCTTTTCCCTGACCTTCCATTCCTACAGGTGTCTTACTGGTCTGAGCACTCATCCTGTCATACACAGCAACATCAGCCTGCTCCACACACCATTCCAGATGTTCAAACAATAGATGTTATAGATATCTAATTTTCAGGCAGCCTACTCAGGTTTTTATCATCATAAACATTAAATACACAGTGAAACCCTCTCAGAATCCTCTTTTCCATGAAAAACTTTCACTACATCAGCATTAGCAGCTTTCCTCTTGATTTGTGTCTTGACCATGAGAAACAACATTGCAGATGCAGGCTGCATTGTACTAAGAACATATGCATGCTTTTAAATCACTTTTATCTTACTTTTTCTAATGTAATCCTGAAATGTAAAATATGTTCTTTTTATATTTACTATTATAGGCAGAACAGATGGTGAAAGGCTTAGATTAAAGTAATACAGTATGTCTATTAAAATAACCCCCACTGCTGGTGACTCTTCACCAGATCAGGAGTTATGTTTACTATAAAAAGAGAGGTTTGCTTTGCTTTAGAATACACTGGAAGTTGTCATAGCTTTAGGCTACAGGAAGAAATGAAAACAAAACAAAGGCTAAGTCTGACTAATTCAGTCTGATTCTGTTATCTTTAACCCAGTGGATTATATGCTCAGATAGAAGTGGATTGCATAATTAATCCAGATTACCCATTTATAGGAGTTATAAAATCAATTTACCTTCAAAATCAGGTGTATTGATATACACCTACTAGAGAAGGCTTTTACTTCCAAAAATTCATGCATGCTGTAACACACACCAAAGCCTCCATTCAACAAATAAGGTACCCCCTTACTTGTACGTGTGACTTCGTTTTATATATATATAATTTTTACCCAATAACTAAAATGAGATATGAAGCAGTAAATGATTATCCATATCTCGCCACAGGGCATTTTCATTAGAGGCAGGCAACAAACAGTTTTGAATATTTTCTTTAAACAGTCATCATTAATGGGAGATTAAACTCCAAAAGAGTTGTTCAGATGATCACAATTAAAATGTTTTTCCAATCTTGTTGCTATTTCCTGTGTACAGAATAAATGAGGTCCAGGGCTAGCTTTTGGAAACACGAAATAAATGAGGTCCAGGTCTAGATCTTAGGAGCTCCTCACAATGATTACTATTATGGGGAAAGACTACAGACATCTTTTAAACAACTCACAATTTCCTTTCTGTGCAAACCTCTATCAAGTCTTCATCTCTCCTGGTTTTTCACCTCCTCTTTTAGCTCTCCACCTCTAGTAGGACAGGACTAGAAAATCACTGTTAAAAGTGTCTCGCCAAATCCTACAGCTGTGTCATGAATTTTGGGTTGCTCTTCTCTCTGCTTGCCCTTTCCCAGTCTGAAATAGGCTTCACAGAACCCACTAGCCCACTCTACTAATGTCAGTGTTAATCCGATGCTGACCAATGCCTCTAAGTTAATGAACTCAATTTTTCCTTAAAGATATGAAAGCCATATTGCACTATACCTGCCTTTGCATAAGACTTGTGGAAAAAAAAACATTAACACTATCTTAGGTGACAAAAACATCCATCTTTCACCCTAGTAGTTCTGCCGAAATTTTTAACATAGTTTTTCAATCAGATCATATCTCATGTAGCTATCTTAGGGGCACACGCTGGCAAGTCAGAGGATTCTAAGTTGCCATTCAATTAGGCATATGATTGCCTTTTCTCTTCAAAAGTGAAGCAATGTAAATGGTAAGGGATAAAGAAAAAAAGGAAAAAAAGAAGGAAAGAAAAAATAAAAAGAAAAAAAGAAAGAAAACAAGAAGGAATGAAAGTATGTACATTTAAAATCCCCCAGGTGCCCTTAATTTTAAGGAATACTTTGCCCACTGACATTATTTTACTAATAAACTTCCTGCTTCCTTCCCTTACCAAAACCCAGACTCCTGTGTAAGCCAAAACCCATGGCCTCACTTTTCAGCTGTGGCTTTTGAGTCACACTTTAATTCTCTGCAACTGACTGGCAGATTATGTGGGCTGGAGACTGAGGGACACAGGCCATACCACCTGCTGCATGTTCTTCACAAGAGCTTTTCTTACCCTTTCAACAGTTTATTCAGTGGTAGGGAAGGATGAGAGGGATGAGAAGCCAAGCTGCCAGCGTTGCTTGTGGTGATATGCTGCAATGAATGGTACGACCATTTTTCAAGATACTGGCAACTAGCACACTGCTTCTTTCTGGATGATGAAATCTGTGACTTTACTACCAGGCAGCTGTCAATGAGGATACAAAATGAAACTGGAACTAAACATCCTGAGCTTTCAGCCCACAATCCCTGATAGAACAACAGTCTCAACACTGCGCTGCTAGTTCAGGATTTTTTCTGGTGGCAGAGAGGATAAGGAGGTACTGATGAAAGTCACACTTTCAGAGAGCAGATCAATATGGGGGGATAACAGGTCTTCAGTTAGGATAGTCCTGTTAACAAATGACTTCTGAAAGAACTATGTAAGGGGAGAAGAAGGATAATTTCAGTAAACTAGTCATCTTAAAAATCTAATTTAGAACTAATTGTAGGTATCTCTCTCAATTCTTTAAAGCAGTTTTATTACAATTTTTTGGTGTAGTGCCTTCAAAAGAAAGGGTCTTCTTGAACAACCCCCAGAAACGCATATGAACAAATGATTAATCAATAAAAGCCATAACAACCTCTGGCAAAATTAGATTCTTAAAATTAAGAATCTGAGTTCATATCTAGGAGCTCGGCTGAATATTCCCTGTGCCAAGAGCAGATGTCATTTAACTGATATTCTTACCCTTAGTACTTTTGAGGGTAAAAAGAAAGAAAACAAGGAATTTAGGTAGACACACTGTGCACTCTTTGAGGTCAGTTTGGAAAATATTGTACCTGCAGAGAAACTGTAGTCATCAAGGTCAATATCAGTTAAATATTGACCTGGACTCTTTATAAATACATAGCTCTTCAATGTGACATCATGAATGCATACATTTATATCTACTGTGTGGTGGCATAAAGGGCAGTAATACTGGCAACAGGGCAGAAAAACTGGCATCATTAGTTTCAACAAACAGGTTTATTTTTGCTGAAGGGTTGACAGTGTAGGCATGCAAGTGCTGTGGCACTTTCTGCAGAAGTGTTCCAGCTCAGCAAGCTAGCCTGCTGCTTTCTCTTCTCAAAACTCACTCCTTCTGACTAAGATTTCCATACTAAACTGCTGTCAAACATCCGGCAGCTTTCTAGAATGGTTGGAATTACTAAAGAGCAAGTAAGAAAAAGCAAGCTTTCTCAAATGGCAAAACTCAAAATCCTCTCAAACCAAGTATTTCAAAAACAACGTTTTCACATGTCTTTCTGTCCGCTCCTCATTAACTCTAAGCCCTGAGCTTATTGTTGTTGATGATGATTTATTATGCATGCTGAAACATAAATGCTTCCACCTTTTTTGAAACACTTTAAAGAAACATATTCCTGTCTCAAATCTTATAACCTGTGGTCCTTTACTCCCTTTGAGTAACATGTTCTTTGTCCCATTCTAATTACTGAGTTAAAATAGCAGTCAAAATCAAGATATTCAAAAAGATTTAATTTTGTTTTTCAAAGGCAACTACCTGTGGGTATGGTGATGTCCTTGATTTTGACTTTGTGCTCGAGAGGCGAGATTTGCTTCCCTTTCTATTATCCGTTATGGTCGGAGTTGAGTTTGCGTATGAGAATGCCGGCTTGGTAGCAGTGACCTGATCCAGGGAGAGCTGTAGTCCTTTATATTCAGTATCCCTATATAAAAGGCAAAAGTGAAAAACAAACTCACTTCATATCTTAATGGAAAACATTCCTTCTTTCTCAGTAGGGTGTGGAAACAAAAGATAATTTTAAGGATAAAGAGGAAAACCATCCTGAGCAAGCCAGTACATCCCCCTAATACATGTAAGTAGTATAGGCTACTAAAAATAGTACTATTTTTATACTGAAAATATGATTGCTTTTTGCATCCAACAATTATCATCCTGATCTACCTTCTTCAGTAATAAAAAACATTGTAATGGAAAAGTCTGAGATTTGTATTACAGTTCTACATTGGCCACATAGCTAAGCAGTAAATAGGATACATTTTCCTCAAAACTCTTAACTGTGCAAATACAAACTTACCATTTGTGTATATGTATGTGTGTTCATGCATGTGTGGGGGTGCACATAACAGCCTACACAGATCACTAAATAAATTGAACAAATTATTTTTTATGAAAACACTTCATCTTCAAGGTTATATTTTTTTGTTGTTTACAATGTTCCAGGCAATTGGTGCAAATTTTTAAATTTTTCTTCTTCTGTGAGTCTTGTGAGTGTTTATTCCTGTGTTTGAAGTTTCTCATAACATTTTAACAGCCACAAGAAACATCTAAATAAATACAGGTTTTGTGATTTCAACGGTCTGTCCCACACGCACAATACTAGAGGTTTTCTATGGGGAGCTAGATATAAAAGCAGTTTGTGAAGTTTAGTATTAGTTTCTTTAAACTTTCTAACTAATACATAAAAGTAACAAAACCTGGTATTGTTCACAATGTCTTACTAAGCATAATGAGGGCATATGCATTGGACTGCACCCCTCTGCACACATCTGCATGGCTGCTGATACCCGGGAGAGTAAGAAATGAGCTCTCCACCTTTCATGTAGTCATATGGATCCTATTCTGACAATGATTTATTAAAAGAGAGTGAAGCAAGAGTTTCTTCCTGACCTACCTACCTGGAGGAAAAGAGGAAGGATTCATGTTTTTTCTTTGTGTTAATCAGCAGAGAAGTAGGAGAACAAGGGAAGAATAATGCTTCTCTTGTGCAGTCAACGAGGCAACATATTCATTCGCACACTACTGCATACTCCATCTAAACCTTAACTTATCCTTAATGAATTATATTAATAATAAATTGTTCACTCAGCTTTAATGACAATATCTTGCTCTACAGCCACACATATATTGATGTGAGCCATGACAGTCTAACACTCTTCAGAAAGAAACTGCATCACAACCTGAGCCTATCACAGCTTAGTATATGAACATGCTTTCAGATAAAAGTCTGGGGCAGAAGGATAAACTTGACAAATCACTGAAATAAGTGAAATAGGATGGATCTTTGAACAGCCACAGATAAACCTGCAGAACAGACAAATTAATTCATGCCAGTTCCACACTAATTTCTTTTTTTTTTCTTCATCTGTTAAACAACAAACTTGTTGGTTGAAGAGTCTTAGTTTTTGGCAGTGCAGATAATGTATATGTATCCATGCATATATAATGTGTGAAAACAAATCACTGACATTAGAACTGTGCTGACTACACTGTTTCGTCCACAGTAGACAGAGATTGGCCAAGTATAGCTGATGTTTGATAATGCAAAATTACTTCTTAATGAGATAATTTCTTCAAATTTTGGCTTTAATAGAGATAGGCTTGTGTTATAATATTTTCATTTCAAATATCCTGCCTGCAGTGAAAGAATCTGAATGTAGGGATTTGAATATAGGGATCTGAATATAGGAATATACCATTTGTCAGGTAAGGTTCATCCATATTTTGAAAGCATTCATCTTTCCTGTGGTTACCTTCAGAATTTCCACCCAGACACCTTCACATGATATACAAAGCATCTGTCTCCATAATTGAGTCCCACCAAATTTTGTTATACAAAACATCAAAAACAAAGGATGTCAATTAATCTTTATATTTAACTACTACCAGTAGCATGAGGTATTATCAATAGTCTTGAAAAAACTATCATCAGGTTCATCCTGATATGCACAGTCCCTCTGACTATTTGATTATAAGAAAAGGAAGGTTCATGTGGTCTCCGTGTTAGATGCAAATAATGTGTCTCCAGACATGAAAATTAATCAAAACTAAGTAGATAAGTTGTTCAAAGCCTTAGGCATATGAGAAGGTTCTGTTCCATTTTAAAGCCTATCAACCCTTTTGCCTCCCATTTTGCTGGATAACCCATAGATCTGCACCCATGCCATTACTTTCCTATCTCTGGTGTATGCCACCCTGTAACAGTCTGCTGCTTTCTCATGTCAGTGGAAGAGGTTTAAAAATTGTACAAAACACCACCCCAGTATTCAGATCATGGATTGTCGCTCCAAAACTACTCGCCTGCTGTTATGATCTGTGTAAAGACCAAGCATTCCCACCACGGAGATTACACTGTACAATGCTTCTATGTCACGTGAATCTTAAAAAAAAGGCAAACCAGGCTGCCCAAAACCTTGCATGCCATTATGTTACTCTCCTGAGTCCTTGGTATCATTAGGGTGAGAAGTCACCCTCCCAGAACACCACACATTAGAATAAACACCCCAAGCTGGTATTTGCAGCCAATGGCTTAGACAGTAACATCATTAACGGATAAGAAAAAAACTCTATGCAGTGCTTGCCATTGAATGCCAAGTTTCCCCTCAGGAGAAAAAATAAAATAAAATACAGCTGCACTATCCTTACAGATGAAACACCCGGACTTTTTTGTATCATTGAGGCACAATTGAATACCATCTTAACCTTATCCTAGCACAGCTACACTTCAGAAGAGCCAAGATAGATACCAGAACACCAAAAGTAAGAGGCCAAGATAAATACCAGAAGTTCATTTAAAAAAAAAAAAAAATAGGCAAAGAAAACATTGAGGAATCACTGTGGTCTCAATGTCAGATGCATAAGATGTTCCACCAAGAAATTAAAATGTTTGAGTAGATCCATATGCACTGTGAAGCAAAGTACTAGAGGAACCAGGGCTCCTAGTGGTACACAAACTACAGATGGAAATTCTGACAACTTCCTGGAGGAATTTATAAAACTTCCACCAACCATGGAACTGTAATCTCCAGATTCCTGTTCTTGGACACTTGAATCCTTAATTACACAGTCCCAGCAACACAGTAGTATTGTATCTTGTGTTTTAGACATAATTCAAAAAAAGGTGGTGGATGCAAGCCTCTTCCTCCAAGGCGCTCACCTGCAGGATACCACAGGGATCCATAGAGTCTACATCTATCTACATGGGACTGCTGAGAGAGAGAGTGATATGGCATGTGTTCAACTGCTAACAGTATGTTGCTGACAATCTACTATTTATCTTATTTTCTGATGCAACTATCATCACTATAAAACATCAGAATAACTACAGGAAATTAGCTCTTAAATGAAGAACAGATGGATCAAACTGAATCCAGACAAGACCAAAGTGATGCTTCTTTGCAAAGGGAAACACATTGAAGACCTCCACCTTTTCATGATAGGAAACAGCCATTTTCTCCACAGTTGGATTGAAATTCTAGGTCCTCTTTGCCTCTTCAAAAAACTTGGATGCACATGCTTTCAGCAGCATATGCTTCCAAAAACTTATTATTTCTCCTCTGTCTTGTTCCTCTCCCCATATGAAAATCTGACTGGTATGGTCAATGTATCAGGCACCTACAGACTGGATTGTCATGCTTCATTGTAAGCAAAAGGAAATCAGAAGACAAAGCATAAAATCCTCTAGCTACAATATGCTGCTTCCTATTTTCTTCTCAGATCTAACTCCCAGAAACATTTCCACTCTGCTATACCTCTGGCTCTTTCAATGCCCATTATAAAGCTTGAGCCTAATTTTGAAAGCACTTATTGATGTACTAGAACTAGCATCATGAAAAACCAAAGATCAATGCCTGTACCAACTGCACTTCTCTACAATAAAGCACCTGAAAGTTGAGTATAAAGCTTTCTTTACTAAAGGGATCTAGGTATAGTAAGCAACATAGATGGAGAAGGACAAAGTCTGAAACAGAATAGCATTTGGAAGAGGAAGCCAATCTGTTTGCACATGGCTTGGATGCCAGCTGAATCTGCAGCACTTGTGTGGAGAGTTCCCACTATTCAGCTTTAGAAGGCACTTTCTGCGTACCACCACTGCAAAAATGTACAGTATGAAATGATGGCAACAGTCTGTCTAATGAGAGTTTGAGGAAGATATAATAACTTATTAGCAGATAGACCCAAAAGAAGAACGGTAAGGGAGCACTACAAAACCTGAATTCTCAGCAAACAGAGCTTGCACAAACATAGCAACTGAGTGTATGAATACAGCTCACCATGCAACAGAGAAAAATGAGAGGGTGTTGATATGGCCTTTTTGAAGGAAAAAAGATGAGGAAAGGGTGAGTCAGCATTGCTATAAATAATGTTGGGAAGACAGGAATTAGTGACAGAGCCAATGAGCACAATATGGCCCAAGAAAAATTAAACTGTACAGAAAAGCCAGGATTTTTTGTAGTTGTGTTTCTTCAAGTAACAGGGTGAAGTTTGGGACTACTTTGACCAAAACATAAAAACTAAAGTGAGACTAGACATTAACATTGGAGAACTAAAGGCATAAAGTTTTTTGAATATACTGTTTCCCTACTGAAAGACGTTGCCTATGGAGCAGAAGAGAGCTTAAGCCCTGAAAAATGCTTTCAAATAGAAAGAGCAGTTCAACAGAATGTATCCAGAGGAAGGAGTAAAATAATGACATCCATTAGTAAAGAATGAACATCCAGATTCCACCAAAAGAACTTAAGGACAACGAGACATATCTACAATCATAAGCAGCATAACCTTCAAAACAAGAAGAAACCCACCAAAAAAATAAGAAAAAAATGCTTAGCCTATGGAAAACTCTGCAAAAGCCACGAGAAAGAGCAGTTTTTTGTGTTAATGCCACAACATGCCAGAAAGGAAGAATGAGCTATACATGCAGTGACT